GAGTTACTCTCTCTCTCTCTCTCTCTCTCTCTCTCTCTCTCTCTCACACACACACACACACACACACACACACACACACAACGAAAAAACTAAGGCTCAAGGCGAAAATCCAATAACTTTTTCAATCAAAATCCAGCCCAAAGGGCAAAACATTTGACCACCAATTAAGTGTGTGTGATTTTAATTTTAATTTTTTTGTTTTGGATTTAAAAAAGTAAAAATTGGAAAAACAAATTCTTATTATCTGGGTTTACGGCTTTTACAAAAAATTTGTCTATGCAATTTTTTTATACGTAGGGTTCTGATTTTTGAAGGGCTATTAAAATTTGTAAAAGCCCTTACAAAATAAAAACCAAAAATGCAAAGAAAAATGACGACGGGAAGTTATTTTTTTCTGTGTTTTCGGTTTTGATTGTTGAAGGGCTTTTACAATTTGTAAAAATCCTTAAAAAGTAAATCTAGAAAGGCAAAAATAGCAAAATTTATTTTGGGAAGAATTTTATATAATGCTGCAACCTTAAAATATGGAATTAAGGTGCACTTCAAAAGTCCATCAAAAAAGGTTGTTTTGATGTTGGAAAGCCCATCACAACATCGATGTATGAATATGAAAGAAAAAAGATTTCAAGTCTCAAAAATAGTGTATCTTGTAACACATTATCTAGACCGTCCATGTTCAAGATTTTTAGGTGTTAAAAGATCTACTTGATTTGAACCATTTTTGGAGTTTAAAATTTTATAATTAGAGATCAAAATAGGTTATCAAGCCATCCTAAGAATTTATTACACCAAAATTACATTTATGATAAAATTGGGAGGCGCGCCTTAATTTGATTGTTTAAGGTTGCAACCTTATACAAACCACACCCTTTACTTTGTGCATTTTTGTTCTATTTGGTTTTAAAATTTAAGGGCTTTTATAACTCTTCAAAACAAGAAAATATTTAATAGCTTTTATAATTTGCGCCAATGTTGACTATGGAATGTGGACTTTTGTTTTATGCCTTGAAAGGTTAGTTGACTTATTTTTTGTTATTACATATTTGATGTCATTGTTAATGACTAGAATACTGAGTTTTTTAGACTTATTGCTCGATGTTGATGGATTTTTTCTAACAATATTTTTAATTTTTCATTCTTTTATTTTCTTTACTCCTCAGATTCTTTTATTTTCATATTTTAAATTTTTAAATTGACTGACAATTTTGATCACTGAGCTGGTCCATGCCATAGTGTTTGAACGGACCGATGCCCTCACATGCTCAGTGCTTGGTCTAAATAAAATTGTTTAAAACTATACTAGTCTACAGCATGTGATGCACAGGCAAGCACCATTTCGATAATAGAATTAGGGCTTTGGATATCTACATTAGACCGGCCACCAAACCATTGAGAGGTCTGACCCAATCAAAACCCATCTGAACCTTGGTTGAACCTATTGGACCATGTTTAAAAAGAATAAAGAAAAATAGTAGTGATAATCTAGAAATATAAAATATATTTCAAAATTTCCCAACTTTGTTTAACCGGTCTAACATATCACAATCGCCGGTCTAACTGGCTAAAACTTGTCATAGTATGGTTTTGACCGATTTTTAGCCAAACCCAATTTTTTGTTTAGGCCAAACTAAGGCACCAGTCAACAGTCTAATCCATTTGGCCATTGTCGTCTGGTCATGATAATTATTCTATAGATTATATAGGGACTATGGCATATTTAAGTCCTTTTTTATTTGGTAAAAATTTGAAAAGAGAGACTGTTGCAACCTGTAAATGCTTAGTTTGCATACTTCACATCTTTTAGTGGCATTGTGCTCTCTCCAAGGTATTCCACGATGGCCTCTTAGGAAACATGCTACCCTGGCATTCCACAGTCATATAACCATTAGCAATTATGAAAGCAACTCGTGGGTGATTAGGTTGTATTCCTTTAAAATAGTGACCTCTTGAAAACAATGATGACCCTGATTCAGAAGGGTGTCAAAATGTGTTTTCTTGGGCAAGCCTTCTCACACAACACTATTGGGATTTTAATATCTAATAGGTCCTCACTGTGACATTCTCAATGAAAAATCTTACACTGTCTACTCATTATGGCTAGTAAAAAGTTACAATTATAGTAGCAGTTGCAAATTCCATAGTTGCCTCTAGGAACTAGGAAGTCTTTCATGCTGTATTTTACATGTCTCCTGTATCCTGATGGCCTCTGAAAATAAGTTACCCTTGCATGCTAGGGTTCGACATCTTTATTAACTTCCACTCCTACTCTATGGAATGGACTGAATGGTCTTTTTGCATGACTGCTACTTTGAATGTTACTATAGTTTTTCTTTTGTTGTGATATTTTGTCAAATTAAAATGAATGAATACTGGACTGCAGTGAAATTTAGGCATGGAAATGGACCAGAAGGCCCGCCCCTAAAAAACTAGGGCTTCGGCTACAAAATGTGGCCTGAGGGCTGGGCTGGGCCGGACCTGGGCCGACCCTATGGGAAGGGCCAGCCCTCATGAAATTATGTGGATTCTATTGAATAAAAATAAATGTTTTCACTACTATAACTAGATGGAGGAGATGCATGCATGCTTGCTTGTCCTCAAGCCTGTTTCCATTTGTGGCAAATGGAATGCCATGCCAAGAAAGTTTTCAGGAGCTTCTGGTCATTGAGATGAGGCCGCCACTCTCTGTATTTGCCAGCTCATTGATGGTGCAATTAATTCCAGGATAGTTGAGGTTTTATGTTAGATCAAGACAACTTCATAATCTCCCATTTGACTTTGACATTGATGCTTGATGTTCAATGGGGCTTCCACCTTGCTACAGGGCTATCACAGGCAGAAAGTTCGATTTGGACAGGCGCTTGATATTGGAGATTGAAGAAGAGGGATTCTGTTAGGGTGGTGGAAATCTGCTTGGGGTATAAAGTGGGGACCGTACCATCAACTATTTTGGCTTCTTTTTTGGTTGTGTGTGTGAGTGAGAGAGAGAGATCTCAGGAGAAGTTTGTAGGAAAGAGTTCTATGATACATGTAGTGGAAAGATATAAGTGGATATTTGACGTCTTGGAGATGCTTGGAGTTTTTCTTTCAATAAGGTTATCCTCTTTATGGCCTTCTTTAAGTAACATGTGAGTGCCCTTCATGTCCATGTTTTTGATAGACTTAGAAGGAAACTTATATGGATGTATAGTATGAGGGGCATTGCTGCAACTGTGAAACGGGAATATGGGTAAACAATGCTTGAGAATTGCAATTGAATTCATGTTATCATACATCCAAGGAAAAATGGCTAGTAGTGAGGATGTATTGCACCTTAATGACCATGGTCAATATTATTTTAATATGCTTAGGTTTGGTTTTGAATTTTGGGAGATACGCACAAATAATCTGAAAGGATAAAAAAAATTTCCCCAATTGTGAGGTATGTTTCTCCTTCTTTCTTTGGATCGATAAATTCGACGTGGTCATATTTATTTTTTTTCTTTTCCCTGTTTGCTGTTATGGACAGCTAAATCGTCTCTGAAAAGCTGTTTATTTGTATCAGAATAATATTGGAGTATATTCATGGTATCTACACATATAGCCATTCGCACAAAATGCATGTTTATTTGTATCATTATTGTTATATATCATTGATCATTATTTTGCTCGGCCTTTGGTAGGCGTACAAAGAATGTTTTCGATGTGGCATTGAGTGTGCATAAGAAAATTCAACAGAGGGACATCGAAGTGGGAAGGAATCTCGGCAATTCGATTTTGAGGTGGCTTGATCGCATGAAACCATCAGCTCAGATTCGATGTGAGCATCCCATGAAGCCAGGTGGCTTCAATCCGACATTGCGTAACATCCCCAGTCAGCCCCCGGGGACCCAAAGATCTAGCAACAATAAACCCACAGAGCCAGGAGGCACAAACAACCAGCTCTTCTCTTCCATAAATTTATGGCGTAGATCTTCCCCAACTCTTATGAACGGCCAGTATAGGCATATGTCGGTGTTTGGAAAGGAAACAGAGTGGATGAAGCCGACTCTTATGAATGGCCACTATAGAAATATGTCAGTGTTTCGAAAGGAGTGGATGAAGCGGTGAGATTTGATGGTAAAGTGGTGCAATAACAAGCTGAAATGCTATATTTTCTTCAATCGATTTGGAGTTAAATTCTTCTCTTTTTCCCTTTTGGGGGATCTATACATTTTTTCTTGAGGTTTCCTTTTATTTTTGGAAAGGATGGTGTTGGACAACAAAAGGATCATGGCCCACCGTCAATGATGGGGTTTTCCATGACACTGATTTTGCTATGTTCGTTTGTCTGTTTTGACATGAAAACCAAGTTATTGACACAGGCGTTAGAAGGAGAGAGATTTTGATGTTTTAATTGGAGTTTGTGAAGAATGAGCCTTTGTTTTATAGAAGAGGAAATCGAGTATTAGTACTTAAGAAAAATGAAAATTGCTGTAAACACCACAATTGCTTGAAGGTTATGGTGAAGGTATCCCCCTTTCGTTCTTGTGACGCTCATCTAGGATCAACAGGGACATTACTTTGACTTGAATCAAAGTCTTATGGCTGGCTTGAAATGTGTACAATGTATGTAGATGAATACAAACTCGTCTGAGCTAATCTTCCTCACTGATTTACGTTTGTAGATCAAAAGTAGTTCTTTACAGTGTTGCCAATGGTCAACTTCGCTTTATTCTTCAAAGAGGTACATGCATGTCCTTGCTGAGAGTTCTCACTCACATGCACACGAACACGCTCATTTTTGTTCTTTTTATTATTGAGAATGTTTGTACACCTAAGTAGATATTTTTGTTCTTTTGCTTATTGAGAATCTTGTGAGTATAACTTAATGATTCTTGAAATTCTATGAAATAGAAAGAATCATCCAATTGACTCATATTTCTGATATTTTTTCATTGTAGGAGTTGTTTGGTTTGGTGCAAACGGTAAAAAATAGTAGTAGTGGTGCTTTGTTCTTTTAGGAACCAGAGCTGGAGGAGATATTTTCTGAGATGCATTAAATTTTGAGAGACCATAAACACATTGAGATGAAAGAAAATCCCAAGGGCAATTGGAAGTTGGAATCAAAATTGGAGATTTCCAACTCTGAAATCTGGAAGGCAGAAAATTGAGTAACTGATAATGGAAAATATTGTTTGGGTTTAACTTGTAATTATGGGGAATTTGGAAAATTATCTTTTGTTTAAGCTAGCTGACCTGAATTAGTTAGAAAAAGACTTTGATAATGATGATGATGTTTTTGTTTAAGCTGAATGTTAGTAAATTTAACCATTTTCAAAGTGTTCGTTGAAGTTTTCATTAATAAGATGATAATGTTTGTTAAATGAATGAGATTTTGAAATCAGATCACAAATCTTACTGAAATAGACAATCTAATTCACATAGAAAGAAAGGGCATTATAGCACGTCCATGGTGCATCTACTGAAATGGACAATCTAATTCACATAAAAAGAAGGGCATTTGGACGAGGTGAGAACACGTCTAAATAATCTAATTTTATTTTATTTTTCGTCCACATTATATTGAGCTGAAATCTTAGTCTTCTATACTTCTCACCCTCAACCATCTATAGAAAAATAATTTGGAAAATACAATGATTGGAGTACTTCAATTTTATTTTATTTCTATATGTTGGATGGAGCTAAAATTATGGGTGTTTATATTTTTCCCTCTCACATAATTACAAATAACATAAAGATATTTTTAAAAATATAAAAACCTAAAGAACCTTGAAACTCCGCATTATAGTTCACTAGAAAAATGCCATTGACATCAATGTTAGATCTTGATTGGATGGTTCAATGCATGTATGACTATTTCAATT